GCCCAACAGCAAATGTTGTCCCAAACCAACAGCGGCCGCTGTTGGGCAGGCGGCCTCCTGTCTCAAATGGACACAGGCCGCGGCGGCGTGGACAGCGAGTCCTGTTCAAAATGAACAGGAAGTGCTGTTGGGCATCGTACCCATTCTTTCAGTACCCATTTCGGGCGTGCAGAGACTCGGAAGAGCCGCGCCACCCCGCCAGCGCGCGCCGGCAGCGAATTCCGAGCGCGAGGGCGAAAGAAAGCAACGCGCGCGCGGGCGTCGGGCTCGAGATCGCCGCCCGCGAACTTGCTCCCAAAAATAGATCCCCGCTGGGATGGCGCGACTACCGTTTCTGACAAAAACGAAGATCGCCGCGCTAGGCGCGGGGGCGGTGAGCTCGACGTCGGAGTTGCGGGGCCCATAAGGAAGCCCCCCCCCCGCAGCGCGCGCGACATGACCATCGAGGGGGTCACCAGGATGGGAACTTCGAAGGAGAGAGGCCAGCTTGGCGCCACCTGCTGATCTGAACAAGCCGTCGCCATTCGGCACCCGCGTAGACGCGCCGCAGAGAATCTCGGCCCGCGTCGGCGAGGCGCCCCAGGCGCGGCCATGGATGCCGCCCGCGCCCCGCGCCTGGAGCACTGCGGCCCCCTCTCAATTCCTCGGCGGCACGCCGCGCCAGCTCGAGGTCGGGGGGGGCGGGGGATCGGCGAGCGCGGAGAGATAGAGAGAGAAAGAGAGAGAGAGAGAGAAAAAAGAGAGAGAGAGAGAGAGGAGGGAGAGGGGGGAAGGACGCCACAACAACAACAACAACAACAACAACAACAACAACAACAACAACAACAACAACAACAACAACGACACCAACACCAACAACAACAACAACAACAACAACAACAATCATTTTACCCGAACGCTCAGTGTTCTCACCAGTGCCAGGGTTTTCATGCGACGCGAGACAATACCCCCACTTCGTGGGGGGGCAGTTCAAGCTCTACCAAATATCCAAACGACTCTTCGCGACCACCCAAACCCAGCTTCCCGCCCTATGACGTTGGGACACTTCACTTCGTGGCGTGCGGACGACCGTGGCTACTACACTGGCGTGGGGTACACACCCACAGAACTTGGTCACTTATTCGGGGCGCGCGTGTGCCCAGCATCCTGCAATTGTGACATACAATACATGACACAGACAGACAGAGAGAGAGACAGAGAGCAGACAGAGAGAGAGACAGAGAGAGCGGAGTTGGTCACATTTTTGGGGCAAGTTCCTGAGATCGTCGTGTTTTTTGTTGGTCTTGCGCGCGCGAATGTCCACTTTACTTTTTTTTGCAAGGGAGTATTGAAATTTGATTATGTTAGAACAAGAAAAAGTAGCTCGCGCGAGCTCATGTAACATAAATGTTGAAAAACCATTGGTTTTGTGGGAGTCGGACAGCGCGCGCGGGATGAAATTTGGACATTTTTGTTTGAAAAACCATTGGGTTTTTGATGTTTTTATGTTGAAATCGCTACGAAACCTAAGGTTCTGGAAGGATTTCGTCTTGCGCGCGCGAATGTCCACTTTACCTTATTTTTTGCAAGGGATTATTGAAATTTGATTATGTTAGAACAAGAAAAAGTAGCTCGCGCGAGCTCATGTAACATAAATGTTGAAAAACCATTGGTTTTGTGGGATTCGGACAGCGCGCGCGGAAGGACATTTTGACAATTTTTTCTTAAAAAACCATTGGGTTTTTGATGTTTTTATGTTAAAATCGTTACGAAACCTAAGGTTTTGGAAGGATTTCGTCTTGCGCGCACGAATGTCCACTTTACCTTATTTTTTGCAAGGGATTCTTGCAATTTGATCAAGTAAGAACAAGAATTTTCATTTTCTATTGTTTTTTGCAAGGGAAAACGAGCGTCAACAAAAAACCGGATCCGGAGCTCATCCACTTTTCTGAAGCTTTCGCGAAAAAATGATGAAAATGTAGCTGCGGCCTAGGCGCGGCGCAGAGGTCGCGCACCAGGGGTCCCAACAATAATAATTCTTTAGAAGGAATAATATTCAACAACAACAACAACAACAACAACACGACGACGACGACGACGACGACGACGACGACGACGACGACGACGACGACGACGACGACGACAACAACAACAACAACAACAACAACAATCATTTTAGAACCGTGTTCTCACCAGTGCCAGGGTTTTCATACGACACCAGGCAATACCCCCACTTCGTGGGGGGGCATTACAAGCTCTACCAAATATCCAAACGACTCTTCGCGACCACCCAAACCCAGCTTCCCGCCCTATGACGTTGGGACACTTCACTTCGTGGCGTGCGGACGACCGTGGCTACTACACTGGCGTGGGGTACACACCCACAGAACCCAATGGTTTTTGGAGATTTCGGCGTGCGCGCGCGAAGAAAAAACGAATGTGTCCCGCATGGTATTATTTGACAGGGATGATGGCCCTGGCAGGTGCGCAACCGTTGTCGCAGAAGTTCGAAAAAGTTGCT